CACCAATTTAAGCAACTTGAGCATCAAATGTAAAAGCACCCATCGATTTAGTTGAACAGATGCAGAGTTGTGTTCGATTCGCGGTGGTGTGCGGTTTCATTTAGTCTGGTCCCAGTTTCACTTTGAAGGTTACTTCTGTGTTTGGTTTCACGTGCTGTTTCTCAAGTTTCCCTGCCTTTCTTCATTGTCTGCTCATCAGTTTCTTCTGTTGTACCTTCTGCTCCTTGGACCCTTGGAGTGTACCATCCTTCTTTTAGCATGATAATCATTTTTTGCTATACGTCTCTTGTCAGCATTTGGGTCGTTCTCCCTTTGCTGCCCATCTCCTGTACGTTAGAACTGTCCAGTTTTACTACTACGTTTGTGCAATGGGGATGTGGAAATACGAGATGTATTCCCATCGGCTTCCTGTAGAGCATTGGTTCTCAAACCAAATGTTCATACCCCACTGCCCCAACAGAGCTGTACAGGTTTAAAGATATAATACGAATAATAAATGTGTGGCTCCTTTTTAAAAGAAAATATTGTTGTTAGCACAATAGAAATAAACTCCTATTTGTGCAAATAAGAAGAAATATTTCGCATCAGATAGTTTATTGTGGCTGTAATTAACCTGCTGCTGTCTGCATGCTGCCTACAAAAAGTCTTTGTACAAACCAGTGAGTGTAAAAAGAACATGTGGTGTTAGGAAGCAACGCGTCTCACTGCGCTGTCCTCGATGAAATCCTCTGCACGCGGCTAAATTCCAATCCAGGTTGAAATATAACGAAACGCGAGCACACTCAAGCAGGGAGATGGTCTCATTTGGTCCTCGTATCCTGTCTCAGCCTCTTAACACAGCAGTATTCACGCTGGTTTTTATTTCATTTGGTTTTGTATAATCGGCCAAATTCATAGTGAGTGTGTGTTTGTCTTGCTGTGAATAATAATGATTTCTGACTTTAAGCTAGCGCCCTCATGTCCCGTGCCCATTGCTCATGCACGGGCCGAGTAGCCTCGTCCTGGCGGAATGAGTTTTGCCGTGAAGGAGGTTTGATCCCGCAGAATGCCGGGGAACCCGTCTGCGCCTCGGAGCCCCGGCGCTTTGTTCCTGCTAGTTTAATGCAGCGCTAATCAGGCCGTAATCCGATGTGAGAAGGGATGCTCCGTGTGACTCTATCATTCTCTCATCAGTGGCTTCTTTGTCTCCGTCTCCATCTCTCGCTCCCTCCACATCTACGTCTGAGGGCCTGTTGCTTCCCGTGATTGGGCCATTGTTCTGCCTCGCTCACAGCGCCGGCCTGTTGGCCGTGTTTACATGGATCCATGCTTCCAGGCTGCTGGCTAATGCAACACCTTTGTTCTTTTAATTGCTTGCTGTTCCCGCCACGGGCAGAAAGGAATGAAGGAAGCCGACGCAACAGAATACTAAAATGTCTAAAATGTCGCTTTTCACACCTCCTTGCGTCCTTGCGCGTGTCGAGCCATTTTTCTCCCGCAGCGCAGCAGGCTGCGATCGGTCCGCTAACTACGTCCTTTACGGAGTCTCACATTTCCGCTTCCACAGCCCGATAGCGCCATTATTAACACGAAGAATGTTTACGAGAGAACGGAGCAGATTTAAGAACTTCTGTCAGAAGAAATGCGTAAATATGACGCTTATACAAGCCGCCATTGGCGGGTTTAGAAGCGGGTTGGATTCACGGAGGGAGATCGCCGCAAACGCCGGTTTGCTGGTCGAGAGGAACAAAGTCGTGGAGGAAAATACGGGACAAATGTGTCCGCGATGAAAAGCAGCAGTGTGGATGCACGGGGCAATAAAGTCTATGATAAATAAACAAACAAATAAATAAATAGACGTGACTCTCTAGGTCGTCTTCAACAAAACACGTCAGTCCGCCTGTTGTTCTGGAGGTGAATCGCTCTGCAACACGCGCAGAACCATGAAGTGAAACGAGTGCGTCGACGCAACGACGCAGAAACACGCGCAGACCTTAAATCGCACTTTTTCAAATTGTCGCCTCAGCAAATCTGCCTATTAATTACGCTGCGTAGCGCCACCCACAGGCAGAGGGGAGTATTGAGCCTTCATACCACCAACAGCGCGACACACACACACACACACACGAGTTGGCTCTTTTTCTTCCACCAATGAAGTGACAGTATGTAAAACATGATTTGTTTTCACCTGACAGCCTCTCTTTGACTTTTGATGGCTTCTGTGCTGGAAAACCAAAACAAAGATCTCCAAGAGGCTGAAGAGGCTTCATCGGGTTTCATGATGCGTTGTCCAATCCAAAGCGCCTTGCCCGGCCCCGGGAAGTGCAGCATTGGGGAGAAATGCTCTAAGAAGAGTTGTCTTGTGATGTTAGTATATCCAGAATCCAGGAGCAACACCTCCTGTGCGGCGCTGATCACATTTTGAATGAAAGTTTATTAATATCGCCTGTGTTCTGCCTTGCACTTCCTTCCAGCCCATCGAGCCATCCAGCGTGCCGTAGAGGGGATACGCTGAGCTGCTTTAAAGCCTGAGACAACATTGATTCTTTTACCGTTAGTTTTGTTTATTGAACAATGGAATTCGGTAGACCGATGTGAGCAGCTCTGAGCCCCCGTTATCTTGTCTAACTTTGTTTTTTAAAGGAGTAGTTATTTCTCCGACAGTGGGTCGAGGCCTTGTATGGGATGCGTAGGAATCAGTGGTTTTGGAATGCAACCAGAAGGGAATTAGATGTATCTATTTAATTATCTGATACTCTAGATAAAGAACATTGAGTCATGCAATACTCAGCGCCACCTCTCCAGAAATCTGTGCTCCGGCTGGAAAAGCCTATAAAGTGTGCGACGTGATTTCGTGAGCTGCGATCTTGCAGCTGATAGCCTTACCCCGACTCCTGATACCACGTGTAACAGCAGAGTGTCTCCAGGATTTCCCCACACTTCCATCACCTCGTTCACTGTTCAATGCGGCAGGGCTGTCAATAATGAGTGGCTCTTCATCCTCTGTTAAAGCTCCATTCATTTCATTACTGTCAGGCCTGTCTGGTGAAAGAGGCCCAGGTAGTTTTCCCTTGACATCCTTTTGGTGCGGGGTGAAGAGAAGCGAGCAGGAAGAGGCAGATTGAGACGTGAGGCTGAATCCCTGTACTTGGTTGGGAGTGATTTAGATCCAGGTTCTTTGACATAGCTCGAGTGTTTTTCCATGATGGGAACAGTTCAATAGCATTTCTATCTAAAGTAAGCAAAGTATTTCTCAAATTTGACAAGATCTTAAATCTACTTTTTTTTAGAAGACTCACAGATTGGAAGCATTGTGCTCAACCTCCCACTGTGAACAGTGAAGCCATTCTGCATTCTCTCTATTTACCACCAGGGCGGTGCTCCTCACCTTCTATAGAAGTCTGTGACAAAATGACTTCTGTCTTGATTTATTCCCTCATCCTGTTGTAAACCTGATTGATGTCAGTCCCTAGTTTCAACTCTTCTTCAACACAGCAGGATGGCCATGTAGTAAATTGTGGTACGTTTAGCGTTAAACCGACAGCAGAGTGTGATTTAGGGCGGGGCTAGTGGGATCGATCGTCTTTGAGCTTTTTCCCTTTCACGATTCATTTCCACCTCATAAAAGTTAACTCCAACATTTTGGTGGAATAAAAACACGTCTGGTAACAAAAAACAAGATGGCGACGGCCAAGATGCAGAGCTCCAGATTACAGAACTGTAGTCCACAAAGCAATGAGTGATGACATGGTGGCTACTCATGTCCGTGTACTGCTGCGTTAGCTCCGATTAGTTCAGTTCCATGGCCCTGAGGAAGTCTGGGACTTCATGTGACGTAATCCCACATGTCCATGAGGTGGTGCCACCTGCCCCTTAAATTACAGAATTCGTATTCAAAAAGCGTCCCGTTTAGAATCAAACTCCACCAACCCCCCCTCCCCCCATCCCTTATTGTTCTGTACTAAAGGTGGCAGCCCTGCCATGAGTCTACAGGGAGCAGGTTATCGGAATAAAACGGACTGTATGCTTCAACAAAATAACCCCCCGTAATCAATAAAGAGAAATCAGCCTTTGTTGACGAGGCCAGATGGCAGTTTGATTAAAGAGCATAAAGAAGCCATACAGTGCGATTCCCCCTAAAGGCCAGCGTTAATAGGATTTTCTTGGATGTCACTGTTTGTGACCAAATCCCATCTCATCCCTTAAGTCCATCCCATGGCCACAGAGGCACAGTGTTTGTGTCAGAGCATTGGGATCGATCAGTGCGGAGCTTCGCTGCATTGGGGATCTATATTGGGCGTTTTTTGTTGTCAAAGGTTCTGCGACGTTTACCTTGTTGTCATTTCAACTTGAGCTCGACTAGAACTCGAGACCTGGCTCAGACTGCTCAGCATTTCCTATGAAAAAAGCCCAATGTCCCTGAGATTGTTTGTTTGTTTGTTCCGCCTCATGACCTCTTTTGTTCGGACAGTTTTGAATTAAGTAAAAAAAAAGTTTATCACTTTAAAAATGGGGTATAATTAAAGCCTGCTGAAAAGTGTTGGACACTTCATAGCTGGTCAACAAAGAAACATTGACAACAAAATGAAAGAGCAGAGCCACTCAAGAGGGGGCTGCATATACGCTAAAGGAGATGTGTAATAGAAGACATCTCATGAACCATATTTACAGGCCAAACATCAACTTTAATACTAAAAGGACTGCTGATGAGGACTTTGCTGTCCGGGTAATGAGTAATGGATGGCTGCAGGTGTTGCCTTTCTTAATTAATATTCTTCTAATTGGGTAAATGAATGAGCTGACAGATCACATATGGTGGCCGACATGTGTCTCCAGTACCTCCCTCTATCTGCTTCTGTCCAACCTGTTGTTGTTCTCCGGGGCCCGAGTCACTGCCGTCACACACAGTTTACAGAGCAAACGATTACGGCGGATAAATTGATTCCTTGTGGCGGCGATGAATGTAATCTGTTGTCTGATACGATATGAAGTCTAATTCATCTCTTGTCTCCGCTCCACAGGTGCTTGTGAATCTCTGGGTGGACTGATGCAGCCATGGGCCCATCGCTGGATCTTTGAAAGCAACCCGCGTCCTTATCCTCTCCTCCCTCCCCCTGCATCGCTTCCAGCTCTGCCCCACACTGCTGCAAGACGAGCGCTCCAAAGCCATGAAACCTTCTCCTTCCCTCCGTCCACGCACCATGACAAGCCTTGATTTGAGGAATCCTGGCCAACCACGGCGGCCCATCCCAGTGCTGCTCTGGTTGCTCCTGATGCAGGGCTGTTGCCACGCAGCCCCCTCAGGCCCAGAGTCTGACTCCTGCTCCACGTTAGTCCAGAGCCGCTTTTTTGGCTACTTCCTGTCATCATCTGTGTTCTCCACCATGCCTTGCTCCTGGACCCTGCAGAACCCTGACCCGCGGCGCTACACTATCTTCATTAAGGTGACAAAACCCACAGAGGACTGCGTGCCGTCCCAGCTCCGCACCTTTCAGTACGAGTCCTTCCTGGAGACCACGCGCACCTACCTGGGCATGGAGAGCTTCGACGAGGTGGTGAGACTGTGCGACTCCTCTGCCCCGGTGGCCTTCCTGGAGGCAGGGAAGCAGTTCCTCCAAATGAGGAAGGGACCCCCTCGGGCGGGTGCGCCCGTTCCGGATGGCAATGGGGATTTCAAAACTGAGTACCTGGTGGTGGGAAAGCGCAACCCCAGCATGGCGGCCTGTCAGATGCTGTGCCAGTGGCTGGAGGACTGTCTGACCTCCAGCACTTCCAACCGGCCATGTGGAATCATGCAGACTCCATGTTTGTGCTGGGAGCCCCCGCCTCAGCTCAGCCAGGGAGATAGCTGTTATCACAATGGAGTTTACCTGGAAAACTGTTTACCCAGCGTGAAAGAGGAGGGGGGGAACTTTGAGATAAATGGTGAGTAGGAAACACATCGAACAGCATTTAAGTGGATGTAATCTACAAATTGTATTTTCAGATTATATCCATAAACTGCTCAGTCTCTAAAATAATTGGATTTTTGGGATTGACAATGATCTCTGCTTCCCTGTAAAAGTAGAAGGACAGAAGAGACTATGAGAGAAACTGATTTTGTGTGACCTCAGAAGGTCATACTTGGCATTTGCTGTCAGCAACATGACAGAGAAACGGAATCTTCGGTATCAAGCTGGTTGGCGTGTATGATTTTGAATAAATGAGGATAATTGTGACATTGGCTCAAAAGCGTGAAGTGAAGTGACTTGACCGAAGTAGGGGTAAGGACGAGGGACAGAGGGAGGCAAATGGAAGGTTTTGGGTTTCATCTGATGGAAGAGAGCTCAGTCACCTTGTGAGGTCGGCACCGTCTTGCATCCCTCTGCGGTCCAGGGAGGGACATTCGATCGGCCTCCGGGAAGCCTGTGGAAATGGAGAAGAATCGAGTGCTGATATTGGATAGCTCTGGGGATGCTCTGAGATGGGAGGCGGGGGAGATAGACAGGGTGGGGGGGGGTGTATGTAATGAGAGACAAAACATGATGGGAGTAGGCGAGAGGCAGAAATGTGGTGCAAGAAGGGCCTGTGGCTTCAGGACTAATTGTCTGCTGCTTGTGCTGGAGCCCCCTCTCCGCCTCTCCTCGGCAGACAGGATGTGGCTCGACATCTGTCTCCTGGCTTCATCAGGACTATGGCCAAAGGGGATGCAACATTTCTCAGCTCCAGTTTTCCTCCCCCAACTTTTCTACCTTCCAACTCCCCCTCCTTCGTCTGCCTCATCTGTCGCTGTGGTCTCACAGTCTCAGACATCCTCTCCACCTCTCCCTCCCCAGGCTGAGAGTGGGCTGACACTGAGCCAGTCGTGGGAAGCCAACCAAGCAGGGGAGATGTTGCTGTGGGTATCTCCTGCCTCATCCTCCTCCAGTCTCCAGAGCCGCTAATATCCCCCCGCCGCCCCAGCCTCCTCTCGCGTTATGGCGCTTATGTAATTCCACTCACGGTGCTCAACAGCAGGGTGTGGGCTGTTAGTGCCTGAAGGTGCGAGAAGAAGAGAAAAGATACCATCCACCGTTGTGGTGTCACTCTTGTGTAGAGATGGAAAGCGAAAGCGAAGGGCACATTTCCTGTCAACCCACACGGCGAAGCGTCTCCATGATAATCCTGCTGCCGAGTGAACGAGCTCAGATGGAGGAGGCAAGCAGCCAGTGAATGTATTGCTGGATGGGCGACTGGGGGGATTGAATTGGTGGATGAGGGTGAAAAGGAGAATGTGGAGACCTAATGGGTCCTTTGTGCTAATAGCTTGTGGGGGGAAACGCGCAGTTACGGCCCACTGTGCAGTGATGAGAGGAAAACAGTGGTGTGAGTGTTGAGCGTCAAGAGTGGAGGGAAAAACGACGCGGAGACGAGCTTGACGCTGTGGGGGGGGTACACTAAAAGGCAGCCCAGAGGGGGGGTAGTGTGGGTGGAGCTGCTCTGATGAGGACGGATGCTTGTTGCTCAGGTCACACAATGCCCAGCTGGACCCCTTTGGTGTCGACACCTTCAGTGGACGAAGCGTTTGTAGATTACGTCTGTCTTCCGTCGTAGCAGAGGGGGGCGGGAGCGGATGTCAGGACCCCGGCTCTGCATGGCCTCCCTGCAGTGTGCGAGCTTTGTGTAGTGCTCACGCTCCTGGTCCTGTTTACCCAAAGCGTAAAGGTTCATGGAAACGGGTCTTTGGAAACGGCGATTTTCTTTGTTCCAGCAACACAAAGAAATTGCCTCTTTTGGAATAGGGGCAAGAATTGCCTTTTTAAATAGGAAATTTATATCAAAACCACACCAAGGGCCCACAGGAGGAATACACAATACCATTACATGGTAAAAAAGTCATTCCAACTGTTTTGAATCTGACTGTAATAAAACAAAAGGTACATTGTAGTTTGTAACCTCTCCCTGAGGTTCCTTCCCTGTTGTAACGGACAATTTACAATATGATGCGTTCAGGCTCTGTTCTGTGAAATTATTAATGACAAATCATGACACCATCAGGATGTAATCTCGTGCAATCTCTTAAACATGGTGAAACTTGAATAAATCCAGTTGTGAAATAGATATTGGAAGTTAATTGTGAGCTAACAGCAGCTCTAAGCAGGTTAAAGTGGATCAACTAGTAATGAGAAGATTTGGATCAATCCATTATCTGAACTTGATGAAGGAAAAAGACACTCAGTAAAGTTGAAGGATAATTTGTCTTCAGTGAATTCATCAGGGTTCTGTGACGGTTACATTTGGTTCCTTGTGCTGGACTTTGATCTGTGATACAGTACAAACAGATTTCAGGATCCATTACTGCACTACTTGACTGATGGATGCCATGAGGTAAACTCCCCAGAGACATGACACAGGAGAGAGAAAGATTATAAAGCTCTGGTTTCTTTTCCTCTGAACAGTCAGTGGTGATGCCTCATCAGTCCACTGTTTGGTCAATAATTACTGGCAAAAAGGTTCAGCAACAATATATGAAGATATTAGTGCCTTTGGATCATATATTCTGTCTCCTGGGTGCATGTGGGGTAAATGGTGGGATTCATGTATTGACGTACAGATTGATGCGCTCAGTGTTCCACTACTCTTGAGTAATACAAAATCCAATGTTGCCCGTGTGAGGGGGACAGATGTGGTGCAGGGGTTTCTGTCCCCCTGTGTGTCGATGGGATGATCAATAAGACGCTCTTAGCTACACTCATTCCATGTGACCTTTTCATCAACTTTACAGAGATGAATGGATACATCAAGGCCTCTGTTGCTCATTTTATCAATACCACTCTGGTTTCAGTTAAGAGTTGCAGTTTCCCTCAATAGCAAGAAGGAAGGAACTCGAAACAAATGTCATCACATCTGCAAAGAGAGGCTCTATTGAAAGGCCACAAGAGGAAAAGAAATCCTGATTGGGCCTTAATGCGGTCATTACAGTTGTGTGAACACCTCGAAGTGGAAGAGGACTGCTGATTTTAGGGCTATTTCTGGAATGTTCTGACATTCTTTGGCGTTTAGAGGAAAATGCAGCTTCGGTCCAGAGGTCCGGGCTCCGGAGGTCCCCTTTGAGGTGGACGCATGTGTGTGGACGGGTGTCATTGTGTCTCGACATGTGGAGCGGCAGAGGACTCATTTGTACGCCGTCGGTGGACAGCAGGGGGGGCAGTGAGTGATTAAAGGAGGGATGAGAGGGCACATGACTCATGTTTGTGATAGCTTTGAGATGACCGGCAGAGTGGGACCATCTGGGTGGGTGACCTTGCCCACACGTCATGCAGCCTCACGTTTGGCTTTGAAATATCTGAAGCTTGGAAAGTCCCCAGGCGACGACGCAGTGTCACAGTCTGAAAGCAGCCTGCACTCAGAGAGGAGGCTCAGTTGTTTTCACCCTCATGCGTGTGCAATTTACATGCTCTGCTTTGTGTGCGACAATTAAAAGCCCCAAATGAATCCTAGATTTGAAGCTGCATGTAACATTTCTTTGAATATTTTGCACTCACAGACTGCACACATCACGTTTCATCAGTTACCAGTAACTGCTGTCTTTGGCCTCACTCTGTCTCCTGCTCCAGTGGACGTTCAGCCAGAGACGCTGGCACCAGGGAGGTGACACTCACAGCAAATGATCCAGCTGCACTCCGTGGCTGCAGCCGCAGTGTGTTTATCCCACAGCGGGAAGAAAACTAAAACCGGGGCCTAATGATAATAATGAAAGCATTTTTTCCATAAATATATGAATAATGTAGACATTCAGCAGTGGTTGGCCGTCATTTACAATGAAACAGTTAAAGCAGTTAAATACAGGCGTGGTGTCAAAAAGAAAACACATTTACAAAAGTCAGTCTGCGATGGAAATGTAATGTTCATTTGTAAGGCTGCGGAAAATTACTGAAAGCAGCTTGTGCTCAATATTCCTGTGAGCACATCCTTTAATTGTGCATTGTCCACAATGTAGTGTCAAATCCGTGCAGCAGTAGTTATTTGGGCTGTGAGTCTTTAGCGGGACTATCTGAAGGTGCAGGTCAAGGTACAGCAGCAAAACTGCCTCCAGAAGCAGTCCGAGGGGCTTATGAAGGCCGCTCTGTGCCTCTATGAATGGGAGTACGTGATCATTAAAGACTTAAAGCTGTAATACAAAAACACACTTTGCTAGAGACCTGTCAATCAATCGGTGGCCTCGCTCGAAACCCTGCTGTCTGCTCTGTTGGAGCACGTATGGAGAACCCTGCTGTCTGCTCTGTTGGAGCACGTATGGAGAACCCTGCTGTATGCTCTGTTGGAGCACGTATGGAGAACCCTGCTGTATGCTCTGTTGGAGCACGTATGGAGAACCCTGCTGTATGCTCTGTTGGAGCACGTATGGAGAACCCTGCTGTATGCTCTGTTGGAGCACGTATGGAGAACCCTGCTGTATGCTCTGTTGGAGCACGTATGGAGAACCCTGCTGTATGCTCTGTTGGAGCACGTATGGAGAACCCTGCTGTATGCTCTGTTGGAGCACGTATGGAGAACCCTGCTGTATGCTCTGTTGGAGCACGTATGGGGAACCCTGCTGTATGCTCTGTTGGAGCACGTATGGAGAACCCTGCTGTATGCTCTGTTGGAGCACGTATGGAGAACCCTGCTGTATGCTCTGTTGGAGCACGTATGGAGAACCCTGCTGTATGCTCTGTTGGAGCACGTATGGAGAACCCTGCTGTATGCTCTGTTGGAGCACGTATGGAGAACCCTGCTGTATGCTCTGTTGGAGCACGTATGGAGAACCCTGCTGTATGCTCTGTTGGAGCACGTATGGAGAACCCTGCTGTCTGCTCTGTTGGAGCACGTATGGAGAACCCTGCTGTATGCTCTGTTGGAGCACGTATGGAGAACCCTGCTGTATGCTCTGTTGGAGCACGTATGGAGAACCCTGCTGTATGGAA